TGTTACGTAACGTTTTCTCACTTTTCAGGGATTTTGCCACATTTTTATTCGGATTCTTTCTGTGTGATTTTAGCACCGGGGTATTTAAACGGGGGTGGGGGGGTCTGTAACATTACCAGGTGATGATTCAGTATTTCAGATTCTGCACACACACACACACACACACACACGCATAGACTCAGACATGCGCACACACACACACAGACACACACACACACACACACACACACACACACACGCATAGACTCAGACACAGCCTAACCGCTCTCCAGTGCTACAGATGGATGCCACCACTCTCTCTGGAGCGTTGCCAGCGCCAGCTAGTGAACAGCTTGCCTGGCACAGTGCTCCACAGTGTGTGTGTGTGTATGTGTGTGTGACAGTGTCTGTGTGTGTATGCCTGCAGAAACAGTAGCGAAATAGCCTAGCACAGATGGGTGGCCAAATTCCCCACCCCTCCCGCATACACACAAGAATACAAACACATGCGCACTGTGACACGCGCACACACATATGCTCCAGAATAGAGACACACATGCAGACGCAAGCACACACACGTGCCTCGGTTCTGCTTTAAGTGTTGTCGACCTGGCGCACACTTGCCGCTCGCACAGCTGCTTCCTCGTTCACACACGCGCGCGCGCGCACACACACAGAGTGCACACAGCAGAGGATCACAGTTACACACGCTTGCATACATCTGTACTTACTTTACACGTCCTGTTTATGGCATGCGAAATATAAAATCCACCATCACTCCCGCATCACCCAAGCCCACACACGTAGACAGATAAATGTATTCAAACGCATCTGCAACACAGACACACACACGAGCACTCGCACTAACATGGTCTTTTATGTTGGTAGCTATTCAGTGTTGTATGTTTCTGCTTGTTTTCTTCATGCGCACAGCGAAAACATCAAGGCGTTCAGCTGGAAAGCCTCCAGTACTGGAAACCTGCCAGCAGAGGCCTATAGATCAGCATGATCATAGCAGTGTGTTAAGACACATCGCTGTTTAGTCAGGGCACAATAAAGTTAAGACATGCAATGAATGAAAGCGCTGCCTGCCACAGCTGACTTTACTAGAATGCAGCAGCGTGCAACAGAAACCATTTAAAATGCCTAAATTGTGACGTGAACTCTTGTGACAGGTTGTCTGATATTGCCTCATGTCTTGACTTTGTGTTTCTCCATTGGCTGCAGCTTCTGTTGTAACATACTCACGAAATGATGTTCCTGAATGGCGGAATCTAAAAAAAAAACAGGAGGTTTTACATTCGTTTAGGGTCAGAGGAACGCTCTCTTGGGATCCAACAAAGCCAGAGAAACTTTACCAATGGAAAAAAGTCAGTAGTTAGACAGCCTGCCAGTCAATGAGCTTAGGCGGCTGGCAGCAGGTACTCTCGCCCCCGGTACATAGGGGAAAGCATGGTGGCGGGCAGTGCCAACTGTGCACTAGGTGGGCGTGCCAGCTCCGCCAGCCTTGCAGTGTCTGTTTGCCAGTGCCATCTGGGAAGAACAGCTCTGCGCACATACAGTACCTCTCCTCAGCTCAGAGGGCACAGACACGCACAGACACACACACATGCATGGATGCACACAAGAAAGCAAGGGCAGACATGCACTCCACATTTATGTAGCATCCACAAATATGCATGGTATGAGCAGCGCACACACATATGAAGGTACACACACGCGCACACACACAGGCACAGCCGGCCGCTGACAGCTCACCATCTGTGCGCTGCCTCTGACTTCTCCCTCTGCTTCTTTCTCTGCCCTTGTTTTTGCTTTCATAAACGCGCGGTCCCTTTCCTCCTTTCCACACTTTCTCTCATCCTTCCCCGTCTTATCAGATGAGTTCTTCAGGCCAGAGATCCCTACGTTATGTCATTGCTACCTGTGCACTGACACTTGACATGTATTTTCTTCGGATTTCTCCCCACGTATAGGATTAGGAAGTGTCATTATTTGTTTTCAGGTTGAACTGAGCAAGACAGCGAGTCTACCGAGTCTCTCTGTTTTTTACTTGAGTTGGGCAGTCTGGGCCAATCAGATATATAGATGAGCAACAATAAGATATCCTTAAGTGATTCACTAATACTGAAAAAAGTGTAAATGCAGTAAAATCAGGATTAGTCTTTCACTGAGGACACAAACCATCTCTCAGTACACCACATAAGTCATGTAAAATCAAAGAAAGATACTAAAAAAAAGTGAGAACAAGAGAAAAAAAAATATCAATCTCAGTCTTGTTACATAGTGTTCCTCTTCAGAGGAGAGTGAATGAATACGAGAGCAAAAGAGTGAAAACCAATGTAGAGAAAGAAATGAAATGACAAGAGCAGTTTAAATTGATAAGAGTAAAGGGGAGAGGAGAGGAAATAAAGAGGAGGAGGAGAACAGAAGTAGGAAGGTAATATGAGCGCAGGACTGTGGAATTCACTTCAAAGAGAAGCTAAAGCAGGTCACTGTCTTTCCCAGAGTTTTCCTTGGGTGAACCTCTCTCATATGTTTCTCATTTAAAGCCTCTGAACCACTGTTTGAAAATGAAGGCCAAAGAAAGACACAAGTGCTCTACATGCAGCTCATGTCCTTTTTTTTCCCCTGCCGGAGTATATTCACAAGGGATTTAGACAATTAGCTCATTTGTTGAAAAATAGCTGTAATTTTCCAGATGCCGTTCCATTCATCTTAACATTTCTACATCGCAGTTTAACAGCTTCACATTTGGAATACCACCAAGCTATTCCTTTCCTCCTCTGCAGCACAACAGCTGTAATATTTTCAGTCACAAATCTCCCCTCTCTTTCTATTCCATGTTCCATTTATTTCTTTCCCTCTCACTGGTCACCACTACCTGCAGTAACTGATTGTTTCTCCCACCATCTATCCTTTCCTACCTCCCTTTCTCCCCATTCTCTCCCTCCCCCCACCCTTTGGCAACTGCATAACATCATCAGAAAGATCTATGACCGAACACTATTGCACTCCTATTATTCTTTCTCTCCGCAGCCTCTTTCTCCTTCAGTTGCAATCCCTCCTCCTTGTGCTTCCTACTCCCTGCCCTCTCTTTACAACTTCCAACCATTTTCACCCTCTTACTCCTCTATCTGCTCGCCTTGCTGTCTTTCTTTCTGTCCAACTCCTCCAAAAGCGCCACATGCACTGGAAGAAGTAGCCTCATTACAAACAAGGAAAATCCATTTGGAGCAGGCTTCTCCGACCCCCTCTGAACTCTCTTGAGTAAAAATGGCCCACATCTCTGCTCTTGCCTCCTCTCCATCGTGGATTCCCCCTCTTTCCCCCTAATTATTTATCCCTGTTTCTCTGCCTTTTCTGTTTCCTAAGCAACTCACTCTCTCGCCACTATGGTCCCTGTGTTCTCACACAAATAGGTAAGGTGTCGACATTACAATACAGAGTAGAATTTAAATACCAATTCATGCGTTTAAGTGTAAAATAGATGAAAAATTAGATGAAGTTATTCAGTTTTTTAATTGATTTTCAGTTACTAGGACAGGCCATGATAAAGTAACAATCCATTCACACAATCTAGACACCAAACCAAGTATTATCTATCTATCTATCTATCTATCTATCTATCTATCTATCTATCTATCTATCTATCTATCTATCTATCTATCTATCTATCTATCTATCTATTATTCCTTATACCTGGATCATGCACACACATTTCAAATGGTGGCATTACTTCAACCGAAGCATTGGTTGAAAACTGCTATAAACACAAAGGAGAAAATCAGCAGGGTTAGTTGGTAATTAGCAACAGTTGACAGTATTTGAAGAGAACGACAGACCTCCAGCAAATAAATGATATGATAATGGATAGCCATGAACATAACAAAGGACAAACAAAGTTTAAAATGTGTCCAATGACTCAACTCATGAGTTGCCTTCATGACCCAAGAGTCATCACAGAATACACGAACTATGTCAAAAACAGCTGTCGGAGCTCCCGACGACGCTCGTGCTTACGGCTGAATCATAACCAGGTGTTAGAGCCCTGTTGTTAGGATGAACAGCGGACACTGGATTCATGAAATCTGAGAAGAGACATCAAGCTGGGTAGTGTGCAGAATTCTTCTGAATTCAAACAAAATAAAGCAACCAACTCACCACAGTCCACAGAACACACCTGCAGCGAAACGACAGCTGAGATTTGCGATTAACTGCAATTAAGAATCACGTACGTTTTTTTTCCCCATCTCGTGTCAGCGCTGTCAGTTAAATAAGACTCATCCCACCTATAAAACTGAAACTCTATCTTATCCCCTATTTACTTTTAATTTTATCGCTTTGAATGATTGCTTTTGGCAACTGAAGTTATCACAATTTAATTTTTTTTAAAACTGATAAAGTTTTCAGCTCACGAGAATAGAAACAAACAGTTAGCAGCCTTTCCATGGTGCAAAGGGAAGCTGCATATCTGGAGGCTCACTTGAAGATATAGTTTTTAATACAAAGAAATGATTTCAGCAGCTTTAATAGTGAATGTTCAGCCCTTCATTAAGCTTCAATTGTCTGATCCTTAAGGCAGACAATTAAATGGTGCTACTGGGTTTAAATTGGGCAGCAATGTCATACTAAAAATCTAAAGAAACAAAAAACACCTCCTTGTGCACTGTGTGTGTTAGTATGTATATCTCATGTGCCTACAGGAAACATTAATCACTTTTGTTTAGTGACCTGAAACTTATTGTGTGGGCCCCTTCAGTTAAACTAATCGATTCTCAGCAGTGGTTTAGCAGTAAGAAAATTAATCACTGCAGCACTTCCTGTCATTTTCTCCAGACTACTCCTGAAATCTTCTCTCCGCATCCTTCTTCTTCAGCTGGCTCTCATTTCTCTCCCCTCTCTCACTCTGTCTTTAAGAGCCTTTCCTTTCTTTTTACCCCTCATTCCTCCCTCCAGTGCTCTTTCTCCCTCTCTCGCTCTCTCCTTCTGCTCTGCCATCATCGCAACATCTGATTAACATATGTCTGGGCTTTCACTCCCTGTCAGCTTGCAGGCATCTGCACACATGCGAACTAACAGAGGCGCTCGCATTCACGCAGCCTCGTAAACCGTGTCTCAGGTTCAAGAGTGTAAAGGACAAAAATGGCAGCAGATCTTCACGATCCTCCTTTTAGCTACATTTACGTCCCACGCCGCCTGAGCGTGAACGTGTGCGTGCCCACAACAGGGAGGATCAGAGACAAAGCATCTTAATGTTAGTGCAAGACAACAAGCACTAATGTTCCCCCAGTGAGCTGCTAAAAATGCCAGTAAGGGAGGAGAGAAAAAGAATTATATTAGGACAGAGACAAAGACGAGATGAAAGAGAGAAGATGTGAGTATGGGAGCGTATAAACAAAAGCAATAGCTGCTCCAGCTCTCCGGAGACACGTGGCCCCTAAAAGCACTAGCAAACCCAGTCTCTCTCTCTAAGCTCAAGTTTCATTTCAGAGACAGGAATTGATAGAATGCATTTGAGTTTATTCAATAAAACGTTGGGAGCTTAACTTCATATCCCACTTCCAGTTACTGCAATCAGAGAACTCGTACTGATTAGCTTCGGCAGTAGCAACAGGAAGACATCTCATCCTAACTATCACCAGCCCATACCAGTCAAGCTACATGATCAGGTTTTTTACCCGATGAGGTTTTACCGGCTTAAAGCATCAATGAAATCATCTCATATGTGTTGCAGGATGCTAAAGCCTCTTTTCAAATCATCTGTTCTCCTCTGTCCAAAACTGCCTGGAATCAGGCCCACTTTCACGGCCTCATCTGCAACAAAAGCA